ATTGTGTACAGTGTATTGAGTATAGTGCTTTGTACAGTGTATTGTGTATGGTGCTTTGCGCAGTGTATTGTGTATGGTGCTTTGCGCAGTGTATTGAGTATGGTGCTTTGCGCAGTGTATTGTGTATGGTGCTTTGCGCAGTGTATTGAGTATGGTGCTTTGCGCAGTGTATTGTGTATGGTCTAGTGTATTAAGTATGGTGCTTTGCGCAGTGTATTGTGTATGGTCTAGTGTATTGAGTATGGTGCTTTGCGCAGTGTATTGAGTATGGTGCTTTGCGCAGTGTATTGTGTATGGTCTAGTGTATTGAGTATGGTGCTTTGCGCAGTGTATTGAGTATAGTGCTTTGCACAGTGTATTGTGTATGGTCTAGTGTATTGAGTATGGTGCTTTGTACAGTGTATTGTGTGTGGTCTAGTGCAGTGGTGGGCAACCTTTTTTTTCAACTGAGCCAAATCTCGCCAAAACCATGATTGAAATTTATTTTGAGAGCCACATTTTTAAAACTGAAAATACATCTCCCATATAGTAATTCATCCCCCATAGTAATTCATCCCCCATATAGTAATTCATCCCCCATAGTGTAATTCATCCCCCATAGTAATTCATCCCCCATATAGTAATTCATCCCCCATATAGTAATTCATCCTCCATATAGTAATTCATCCCCCATATAGTAATTCATTTCCCATATAGTAATTCATCCTCCATATAGTAATTCATCCCCCATATAGTAATTCATCCCCCATAGTAATTCATCCCCCATATAGTAATTCATCCCCCATAGTAATTCATCCCCCATATAGTAATTCATCCCCCATAGCAATTCATCCCCCGTATAGTATTTCATCCCTCGTATAGTATTTCATCCCCCGTATAGTATTTCATCCCCCATATAGTATTTCATCCCTCATATAGTATTTCATCCCTCATATAGTATTTCATCCCCCATATAGTAATTCATCCCTCATATAGTATTTCATCCCTCATATAGTATTTCATCCCCCCATATAGTATTTCATCCCCCATATAGTATTTCATCCCTCATATAGTATTTCATCCCTCATATAGTATTTCATCCCCCATATAGTATTTCATCCCTCATATAGTATTTCATCCCCCCATATAGTATTTCATCCCTCATATAGTATTTCATCCCCCCATCCCCCCATATAGTATTTCATCCCTCATATAGTATTTCATCCCCCCATATAGTATTTCATCCCTCATATAGTAATTCATCCCTCATATAGTAATTCATCCCTCATATAGTATTTCATCCCTCATATAGTATTTCATCCCCCCATATAGTATTTCATCCCTCATATAGTATTTCATCCCCCCATATAGTAATTCATCCCTCATATAGTATTTCATCCCTCATATAGTAATTCATCCCTCATATAGTAATTCATCCCTCATATAGTAATTCATCCCTCATATAGTATTTCATCCCTCATATAGTATTTCATCCCCCCATATAGTATTTCATCCCTCATATAGTATTTCATCCCCCCATATAGTATTTCATCCCCCATATAGTATTTCATCCCCCATATAGTATTTCATCCCTCATATAGTATTTCATCCCCCCATATAGTATTTCATCCCTCATATAGTAATTCATCCCTCATATAGTATTTCATCCCCCCATATAGTATTTCATCCCCCAATATAGTATTTCATCCCTCATATAGTATTTCATCCCCCCATATAGTATTTCATCCCCCCATATAGTATTTCATCCCTCATATAGTATTTCATCCCCCACAGTACTATTCCCCCCCCCCCCCTTCTAGTAAGCCAAGTCCCCCGTGTCAATTCACTTACCTTTTGCGTTCCTCTCGCTGTGTTTCCCGCGCCGTTCGGGTCTTCAGGGCGGACTGTGAGAGGAGCCTAGCTCCCCTCCCCTCACGTTCGGCACGCTGCCCCGCCTACACACATCCTGACAGCCACATCCGCGGGCCGGATTAAAAGGTCCGCGCGGACTTTTGGGGCTGCCAACCGAGAGGAGGCAGGGGAGCGGCCGACCGAGAGGAGGGAGGGGAGCAGGCGCCCGGCACACAGAAGAGCCGCATTAGAGTGGGCAAAGAGCCGCATGTGGCTCTCGAGCCGCGGCTTGCCGACCACTGGTCTAGTGTATTGTGTATGGTGCTTTGCAGTGTATTGTGTATGGTCTAGTGTATTGAGTATGGTGCTTTGCACAGTGTATTGTGTGTGGTCTAGTGTATTGAGTATGGTGCTTTGCACAGTGTATTGAGTATAGTGCTTTGCACAGTTTATTGTGTATGGTCTAGTGTATTGAGTATGGTGCTTTGTACAGTGTATTGTGTGTGGTCTAGTGTATTGAGTATGGTGCTTTGCACAGTGTATTGTGTGTGGTCTAGTGTTTTGAGTATGGTGCTTTGCGCAGTGTATTGAGTATAGTGCTTTGCACAGTGTATTGTGTATGGTCTAGTGTATTGAGTATGGTGCTTTGCACAGTGTATTGTGTGTGGTCTAGTGTTTTGAGTATGGTGCTTTGCGCAGTGTATTGAGTATGGTGCTTTGCACAGTGTATTGTGTATGGTCTAGTGTATTGAGTATGGTGCTTTGCACAGTGTATTGTGTGTGGTCTAGTGTTTTGAGTATGGTGCTTTGCGCAGTGTATTGAGTATGGTGCTTTGCACAGTGTATTGTGTATGGTCTAGTGTATTGAGTATGGTGCTTTGCACATTGTATTGTGTATGGTGCTTTGTACAGTGTATGGTGCTTTGCGCAGTGTATTGTGTATGGTCTAGTGTATTGAGTATGGTGCTTTGTGCAGTGTATTGAGTATGGTGCTTTGCACAGTGTATTGTGTATGGTCTAATGTATTGAGTATGGTGCTTTGCGCAGTGTATTGTGTATGGTGTGTATTGAGTTTGCACAGTGTATTGTGTATGGTCTTTGCACAGTGTATTGTGTAGTCTATAGTGTGCTTTGTGCAGTGTATTGTGTATGGTTTGCTTTGCACAGTGTATTGTGTGTGGTCTAATGTATTGAGTATGGTGCTTTGCAGTGTATTGTGTGTGGTCTAGTGTATTGTGTATGGTGCTTTGCGCAGTGTATTGTGTATGGTCTAGTGTATGGAGTATGGTGCTTTGTACAGTGTATTGTGTATGGTCTAGTGTATTGAGTATGGTGCTTTGTACAGTGTATTGTGTGTGGTCTAGTGTATTGAGTATGGTGCTTTGCAGTGTATTGAGTATGGTCTTTGCAGTGTATTGTGTATGGTCTATGGTGTTTTGAGTATGGTGCTTTGTACAGTGTATTGTGTGTGGTCTAGTGTATTGTGTATGGTGCTTTGCAGTGTATTGTGTATGGCCTAGTGTATTGAGTATGGTGCTTTGCACAGTGTATTGTGTGTGGTCTAGTGTTTTGAGTATGGTGCTTTGCGCAGTGTATTGAGTATAGTGCTTTGCACAGTGTATTGTGTATGGTCTAGTGTATTGAGTATGGTGCTTTGCACAGTGTATTGTGTGTGGTCTAGTGTTTGCTTTGAGTATGGTGCTTTGCGCAGTGTATTGAGTATGGGTGCTTTGCACAGTGTATTGTGTATGGTCTAGTGTATTGAGTATGGTGCTTTGCACATTGTATTGTGTATGGTGCTTTGTACAGTGTATGGTGCTTTGCGCAGTGTATTGTGTATGGTCTAGTGTATTGAGTATGGTGCTTTGTGCAGTGTATTGAGTATGGTGCTTTGCACAGTGTATTGTGTATGGTCTAGTGTATTGAGTATGGTGCTTTGCGCAGTGTATTGTGTATGGTCTAATGTATTGAGTATGGTGCTTTGCGCAGTGTATTGTGTATGGTGCTTTGCACAGTGTATTGTGTGTGGTCTAATGTATTGAGTATGGTGCTTTGCGCAGTGTATTGTGTGTGGTCTAGTGTATTGTGTATGGTGGTGCTTTGCGCAGTGTATTGTGTATGGTCTAGTGTAGTGGAGTATGGTGCTTTGTACAGTGTATTGTGTATGGTCTAGTGTATTGAGTATGGTGCTTTGTACAGTGTATTGTGTGTGGTCTAGTGTATTGAGTATGGTGCTTTGTACATGCATTGTGTGTGGTCTAGTGTATTGAGTATGGTGCTTTGTACAGTGTATTGAGTATAGTGCTTTGCGCAGTGTATTGTGTGTGGTCTAGTGTATTGAGTATGGTGCTTTGTACAGTGTATTGTGTGTGGTCTAGTGTATTGTGCTTTGTACAGTGTATTGTGTATGGTGCTTTGTACAGTGTATTGTGTGTGGTCTAGTGTATTGTGCTTTGTACAGTGTATTGAGTATGGTGCTTTGCGCAGTGTATTGTGTGTGGGTCTAGTGTATTGTGCTTTGTACAGTGTATTGTGCTTTGTACAGTGTATTGAGTATGGTGCTTTGCGCAGTGTATTGTGTGTGGTCTAGTGTATTGTGCTTTGTACAGTGTATTGTGTATGGTGCTTTGTACAGTGTATTGAGTATGGTGCTTTGCGCAGTGTATTGTGTGTGGTCTAGTGTATTGAGTATGGTGCTTTGTAGTGTATTGTGTGTGTGGTCTAGTGTATTGTGCTTTGTACAGTGTATTGTGTGTGGTCTAGTGTATTGAGTATGGTGCTTTGTACAGTGTATTGTGTGTGGTCTAGTGTATTGTGCTTTGTACAGTGTATTGTGTATGGTGCTTTGTACAGTGTATTGTGTATGGTGCTTTGTACAGTGTATTGTGTGTGGTCTAGTGTATTGTGCTTTGTACAGTGTATTGTGTATGGTGCTTTGTACAGTGTATTGTGTGTGGTCTAGTGTATTGTGCTTTGTACAGTGTATTGTGTATGGTGCTTTGTACAGTGTATTGAGTATGGTGCTTTGTACACGGTGTGGTATAGCACGGGTACCTAGAATGCATATGAAAAGATATGCGGCGCCATCTAGTGATCAAAATGTGAAGCGCATGCAGACGGAACCAAAATTGCGGGAACTTGTTTCTAGGAGAATCAGTTAAGGGACGGACAGGAAGGCAGAGTGTGCCGGGACGGTAAAGGAAAAGTGGAAGTTTGGAGCAATGGCTGCCGCTTCTGTGAGTATATCCAGTTGGAGAGATTATGAAGTAGCTGAGTGTATGGAGAATTGGTGTGATGTGATGAAGCTCTGAGCTGGACTCACAATGGTCGCGCTGATGAATTCCCCCGCACAGCCACACAACCCACTTCCTGACCCTCAGTTGACTACACCTACTAGTACTGTATCTTTGAATAGGTGTCACCTGGACCAGGCTACATACACTCGCCGGACTATTTATTGGGTACTCCCTGTTCAATTGCTTGGTAACACAAATTGCTAATCGGCCAATCACATGGCAGCAACTCAATGGATTTAGGTATCCAGACGTGGCGAAGACGACTTGCTGAACTTCAAATTGAGTATCTGAATGGGGAAGAAAGGGGATTTAGGTGACTTTGAGCATGGAATGGTTGTTGGTGCCAGACGGGCTTGTTTGAGTATTTTAAAAACTGCTGATCTACTGGGATTTTCACGCACAACCATCTCTAGGGTTTACAGAGAATGGTCCGAAAAAGAGAAACTCTCCAGTAAGCAGCAGTTGTGTGGACAAAATTGCCTTGTTGAGGTCAGAGATTGGGAAGACTGGTTCGAGATGATAGGCAACAGTAAGTCAAATAACCACTCATTACAACCAGGGTATGCAGGTTACCAAAAACAAAGAGAAAAGAAATAGGCTGCACACCTAATAGGCTAACCTTAAAAAATTTTTATTCATGAAAACCATGCATAATAAACATAACATCAGAGATCCGGCGTCATACCCAATCACAAAGACCCCTAACTCCCAGAATAAAGGCTCTCCCATGTCAGACACTGATTATTATTATTCAGTATTTATATAGAGCCAACAGTTCGCTCAGCGCTGTACATTACAAAGGGAGACCGAACATGTGACAGTACAATAACAATACAATGCGATACATGAGGGGTTCGAGGGCCCTGCTCTTTCGAGCTTACAATCTAGGAGGGAGGGGATAGTGGTAGAGGAGGAGATAGCTGTGGGGGATGGAGTGGTTGGAGGAGTAGAGTAGATCGGCAATTAGCAGGGGGTGGGGTAGGCTTCCCTGAAGAGATGGGTTTTCAGGGTGCGCCTAAAGGAGAGGAGAGTAGGTGATAGTCTGATGGATTGGGGTAGGGAGTTCCAGAGGATGGGTGACACCCTGGAGAAATCCTGGAGGAGGGCATGGGAGGAGGAGACTAGGGAACTAGAGAGAGGGAGGTCTTGTGAGGAGCGGAGTGTGCGTGCTGGGCCGTACTTGGAGATTAGGTCAGTGATATAGTTCGGGGCAGTATGGTGGACGGCTTTGTACGTCAGTGTTAGGATTTTGAAATTGATCCGTTGCGCAATCGGAAGCCAATGGAGGGATTGGCAGAGGGGGGTGACGGAAACGGAGCGGTTGATAAGGTGAATGAGTCTGGTTGCCGTGTTCAGGATCGACTGAAGTGGGGATAGCCTGTGGCGAGGCAGGCCAGTGAGGAGGGAGTTGCAGTAATCGAGTCGTGATATGATGAGGGAGTAGATGAGCTGTTGAGTGGTTTCTGGGGTTAGGAACGTGCGGATTTTGGCGATGTTGCGGAGGTGGAGTCTGCATGAGTTAGTGATTGGACTTGGGGCTGGAAGGATAGGTTGGAGTCTAGAATGACCTGGGGGGCTGGCCTGATAGTGGCATTGTTGGACGTGATGGAGAAGTCAATGGAGGGTGGTGTCTGGGCTGGCGGGAAGACTAGGAGCTCGGTTTTGGAGAGGTTCAGTTTAAGGAAGTGGAGAGACATCCAGTCTGATATGTCGTTTAGTAGGTTTGTGACTCGGGCGGAGATTGCGGGGGTGAGGCGAGGGGTTGAGAGATTTGTGTGTCGTCGGCATAGAGGTGGTAGTTGAAGCTGTGAGAGTGTATGAGTTGGTCAAGGGAGGAGGAGTAGATGGAGAACAGAAGGGGCCCGAGGACAGAGACTTGAGGGACCCCAACAGAGAGGGGGAGGTGGTAGTGTTATAGGTAACGCTGAAGGATCGTTGTGATAGGTAGGATGAGAGCCAGGAGAGAGCGGAATCTCTGAGGCCGAGAGAGTGTCGTTTTTTGATAAGGAGTGGGTGGTCGACTGTGTGGAAGGCCGCAGAGAGGTCAAGGAGTAGGAGCACTGAGTAGTGGCCGATAGCTTTGGCAGTTAGGAGGTCGTTGGAGAGTTTGAGTAAGGAAGTTTAGGTGGAGTGTAGGGGACGGAAGCCAGACTGTAGGGGATCGAGGAGGTTGTTGTTGTTGAGATGAGAGCTTAGGCGATTGTAAACTAAGCGCTCGAGGAGTTTGGATGTGAATGGGAGCAGGGAGATGGGTCTGAGGTAATATGTCCGGTAGGGAGGTATATTCCATCAGGGAGGCAGACACCCAGTAGACGGTAATATGTCCACTGGGTGTCTGCCTCTCTGATGGAATATAACCCCACCCCCCCAAAACACAAACCAATCCACCCCCACTCTCCCAAACAAACCCAACCACCTGAACCCCACAACTTCAATCCCCCAATGCTCCTCCCACAATGACCCCCCCCAAAGAAAAACCGGCCACCCCCCTCCCTGTGGTGGAGAGAAGGGAGCTGAGGAAAACTCTCCAGCCCACTGACACCCCCCAGACCCCGTTAGATGTAATGATTGACCCACCGACACCAAATGCGCCATAAAGTAGACAATATGAAGCAGACTGCTATGTATATGCAACCTATACAAATAATAGGTGGTGAACCAAACAGATGGAGTGTAAAATATGGGCTGCAGCCTCAGAGTCCAATCCAATATATGGTAACATAAAGTCTAATGTATCCAGGCCAGATGAAAATGGCAGATGTATGTAGTGTAATCCACTGGAAAGGATGCACTGTGGTCATGGATGTAGAAAATATATAGCATGGGCAGCCTGCTGAAGTGGACCGGTTAGTGGCCAGGCAATGCAATCACTGTGTGATAGGAGTGAGCCTCGACATGGAGTCCAGTAAACACATGAGCAGTAGATATCAGCATCAAGGAGAGAACTATCACAGCAACATCAATGTGTATGGCCAGTCCAGCCTGTGCTAGACTGCACAGCTGATGTGACTAAGGTAACAACACAGGGTCGCTAGTACTCACGATCCGATGAGACCACCAGGGTCCTGTGCATGAAGCCGTGGCTGTAGTCCTGCTCAAGCTATCACTCCAAAAGTAGCTACCGGCCATACATGATGAACACCAGCCGTATCCAAATAGGCAGTGTAGTAAAGTCCAGTGAAGCACCATGCGGTGTGGAGATGGCGCGCTGGAGGGGAGGGGGGGTGCGTGGCCACACTGACGCAGTTCGTCTCGCCTACTTCCGGGACTTCTTCAGAGTCATATGCAGAATACCACCTCTAAACACACGTCCAACCTTGAAGCATATGGGCTACAGCAGCAGAAGACCACACCGGGTGCCACTCCTGTCAGCTAAGATCAGGAAACAGAGGCTACAATTCACACAGGCTCATCAAAATTGGACAGTAGAAGATTGGAAAAACGTTGCCTGGTTTGATGAGTGTCGATTTCAGCTGTGACATTGAGATGGTAGGGTCAGAATTTGGCATAAACAACATGATAGCATGGATCCATTCTGCCTTGTATCAACAGTTCAGGCTGGTGATGGTGGTGTAATGGTGTGGGGGATATTTTCTTGCAAGTGTACAGTCAAAACGCACACGTTCCTGCATTAAAAATGGCTGTGTGTATAAGTGGGTGCTGCAGTGACTGTCGGCTGGAACCAAACAGAATCGGCAAAGAAGAATGTCACCAGCACACCGAGGATCACCAATATGGGTCCAAAGGTTTTAATGAACGATCACATAGTTACAGCAAGGCAACGTTTCGGAGTCTCGCAGGACCCCTTCATCGGGCATGTGACGAAACACATCACATGCCTACTGAAGGGGTCCTGCGAGACTCTGAAACCACGGCTTACCTGAGTATTGTTGCTGACCATGTCCATCCCTTTATGACTACAGTGTACCCATCTTCTGATGGCTACTTCCAGCAGGATAATGCACCATGTCACAAAGCTCAGATCATCTCAGACTTGTTTCTTGAACATGTCAATGTGTTCACTGTACTCCAATGGCTTCACCAGATCTCAATCCAATAGAGCACCTTTGTGATGTGGTGGAACAGGAGATTTTTATCATGGTTGTGCAGACGCCAAATCTGCAGCAACTGCGTGATGCCATCATGTCAATATGGACCAAAATCTCTGAAGAATGTTTCCAACACCTAGTTGAATCTATGCCATGAAGAATTAAGGCAGTTCTGAAGAAAAAAAGGGGTCCAACCCAGTACTAGCAAGATGTACCTAATAAAGTGGCCGGTGAGTGCGTGTTTGCCTTTGTACATATCCCTTACATGGTGGATTGATGAGATTAGTAGTTAACTCAAGTAACGTAACATAGTTTTTCCTGTCATTGGTAATGTTGGATTTCCTTGCATTCCATGAATGTAGGGTTGCCAGGCATTTCTACCTGTAATTTCTTTGCCAGGCAATCTCAGGTGATGCAGTTTCCTTTCCTCTTCCATCTCTGAAACTTCTGCTTCAGTTTCCGAAAGTAGAAAACCTGAGTATATTGTCTGCATGTCTATTTCTGTGACTCATTGCAATTTATTTCTCTCTCCTTTTTTTTTTTTTTTTTTGTTAATGTGGATTTATTTTTTATTCTTGATTTTAGTTTTGGCTTCACTATACATTTCTAAGAGAAAATAACTGACATAATTTTTCTAATTAATAGGATTTCAAGACTGATGTGGATCTGGCAACCAGAGCAGCAGAAGGATTTGTTAATCTTTATTATGAAACCTTTGATAAAAGGAGGAGGGTAAGTTCTGTTCTTTTGTATATTTCTTTTCTCTTTGTTAAAAAAAAAAAAGACTTCTTAAGAATTTGAATCAAACTTATGAACCTTACTTGATCTTGATATATCAGGGAGTGAGATTGGTTTACCAACTGCATCCCTACTTGAGCTACAGTGAAGTAAAATAGTGTAAAACCAAAAAACTAACACACTGTTCACTCTATGAATAGAATTGTTGTTGAATGCTGATGAATGTACTTAAAGCAGAGCCCCACCCAAAAGGGGAAGTTCCACTTCAAGGCTCCCTGTTAAGGATTGGCACCTTTTGGGGAGCAGGGTACCTGATTTTGACAGGTACTCGCTCCCTTTTTCGCTGCAATCACCTAGGCTGAAGCCGCAGGCTGTCACAGTCGGGTGCCCACACTAAAGATGCTGGCACCAGAGAAAGAGAGGACAGCCGATGAAACTGACTACGGTGAGGACACCGCTGGATCAAGGGACAGGGAAGTGTCTGTTTTTTAAAAGTCAGCAGCTACCGTTTTTGTAGCTGCTGACTTATATTTTGTTACATTTTTGACTGGAGTTCCGCTTTAGAGTACAGTGAGAGAGATAATCGATAGAATTGCTCTGACCTCTGACTCGGCTTCCTAATGGTGGCACCTTTCAACTGTGCCTGCGCAATGTTTGTTGCCATGGTTGCTTGTAGTGTCAACCTGGGGCACATGTGACAATATAGGAGCACAATTTGGAGACACTTGTCAGCCCATAACAAGGAGGTGCCTGAATAAAGGACCCCCAGATATTCCTTAAATGGAAGCTGTATATGTGAAAGAAAAAACTTTTAAATTGACATAACATTAAATTTTATAGGAGATTTTGACGATTGGGTTTAGATCTAATTTATACTTACAGGATTTTTTCCATAAACATGATTACGTGATTGAAGTGAGCACAATTTGACCTTTCTAGGGCTCATTCACACTTCATGCACTTTGAAACACCATATTGCACTGTGCTGGAAACGTACATTCTGGCCAGCGATGCCCTGTGCTTGTAAAACCCAGGGGCACGGTTAACTTTTTTTGTTTGTTTAATCATTTCTGTGCACCAGAGCTTGCTGGTGCAGAAACACAGCGTTGAACAGAGCTGTAGGTGTGCTACAGTGTGGGACAGAAAAATGCAGATATGTCTCAAAGGGAACATTTACTCCATGGTAAATGTCTTAGGTGACATTTCCTGTTCTTTAGAGGGGGTTTCCTCTCACTCTTCCTGTTGTGTGTACAGGAAAGGAAATAATGGGATATCTTGCCAATGGGACTGAGCCAAACAAATCCTAATGGAGGTTGGCTTTAGGTGGTATTTTCTAAAGTGTGGGCCACTTGAGGTCACAGTTGTGTTGTCCCTGGGCTGTGGGTCGCCCGATCACCTGCAAATTCTGACTGGGAGGGGAGGGCACTGCACTACCAGCATTACGCTACATCTCCATAGTGGAAGCTGGTAGTTCAGTGTGTCTACACTAAAGAGCACTGCTAACCCCTTTTGCTACTTCTGTATTAAACAGCAGCAGATTGGGAAGTGGCACATTGTGTACTAATTCATTAATAAGTTAAAGTGTTTGTAAACCTCAGTCATGAAATCTGAACATATACAATATCTGTATTGTTTACATATCTCTCTCCAAAGTGTTATTTCTCTCTGGTGCTTTGTTCCTCTCTTATCAGCTTCTGTCACTTTGGACAAGTTGTCTCAACAGCAGAGATAAAATGGTCATGAAGGAGGAGAGCTCTTCACCCAGCTCGTCTATTCACAACATAGCTCTGCATCGTTCCTTCGTTCCTGTGCCACGTGTGAAGGCGGTCTGCCAATCGGCTCTCACACATTGTACGAGAGCTCTAACTGCAGCTCCCTACCCACTCCCCTGTGCTACTGACAGATGCAGAAGGATTTTTTCTAATTTTTAGCACATTTGAAGGAATGTAGAAAAGAGAAGACTGCAGATAAACAAGTAAAACTTATATAGCAGGATTTGTTTCATCTCTGTGTATCATCTGAAGCTATTTACTCCACTAGCTACAGTGAGGAACAGAAGTATTTGAACACCCTGCGATTTTGCAAGTTCTCCCACTTAGAAATCATGGAGGGCTCTGAAATTCACATTGTAGGTGCATTCCCACTCTGAGAGACAGAATTAAAAAAAAAATTCAGGAAATCACATTGTATGATTTTTAAAGAATGTATTTGTCTTGCACTGCTGAACATAAGTATTTGAACACCTGAGAAAATCAGTGTTAATATTTGGTACAGAAGCCTTTGTTTGCAATTACAGGGGTCAAACGTTTCCTGTAGTTCTTGACCAGGTTTGCACACACTGCAACAGGGATTTTGGCCCACTCCTCCACACAGATCTCTTCTAGATCTGTCAGGTTTCGGGGCTGTCGCTGAGCAACACGGAGTTTCAGCTCCCTCTAAAGATGTTCTATTGGATTTAGGCCTGGAGACTGGCTAGGCCACTCCAGAACCTTGATATGCTTCTTACGGAGCCACTCCTTGGTTATCCTGGCTGTGTGCTTCGGGTCGTTGTCATGTTGGAAGACCCAGCCACGACCCATCTTCAATGCTCTGACTGAGGGAAGGAGATTGTTGCTCATGATTTCTAAGTTGGAGAACTTGCAAAATCGCAGCGTGTTCAAATACTTCTGTTCCTCACTGTATATGAGAAGATTTACAGCCACTTTAATAGAAGATCTAGTTCCCCACGGAATTATTCTTTTGCATGTGCAGAGTGGGAGGGGGGATACCAAGTTTCTGCAAAAATTGGATAAGCAGAGCTGGAACAGTGATGGAAGAAGGCTGCAGAGGTAAGTAGTTTTAGAAGAAGTTTACTTGTGTGAGTGGTGGATGAGGGGTGCAGAAGTGAACAGTGGGTGAGGTGTGCAAAGATGAAGCATTTGACATGGAAGAATTCCAATTTTTAAAAATGATTGTGATGAGGTTTTAATGTATCTGTGTAATATTTGGCTTGTAACACAGTAAGCAAAGCATATTTTGGGGGTATCAGGACTGTGGTGCATGTGTGCTGCGTATATAGTGAGTAGCTCAGGTTCTAGATATCTATCGCCTTCTACAGTACTAACAGGGCGGTGTGGTCACACCCTACAATGCCTTGGCATTGCTCTCCTTGGAGTGCCCCAGGAATTTCACAGGTCTGGTCACATGATTCTCGGAAATCTATTGACTGTTCTGCATTATAATTGTTTCATTAACCAGATGTTAACGCTTCACTTTTTTTTTGGGGGGGGGGGGGTGTGTATGGTAATAATTCTCTTCTGAGTCCCAGTATAATAACCATTTCCTTATTTGGATCCATGGACTGAAATTTTTTGTGTATGTGGTGGTGTTTTTGTTTAGTTTTTTTATGGGAGGCCAGGGTTCTGCTTTAACCACTTGCCCTCCAGAGGATTTACCCCCCTTCCTGACCAGGTCATTTTTTTGCGTTATGGTGCTGTGTGACTTTAACTGACAATTGCGTGGTCATGCAACACTGCACCGAAATGAAATTTACATCCTTTTTTTTTTTTACCCCACGAATTGAGCTTTCTTTCGGTGGTATTTGATCGCCTGTGCGGTTTTTATGTTTTGTGGTATTTAAAAAAAAAAAAAAAAAAAGCCTGACAATTTTGAAAAAACAAAACAATATTTTTCACTTTTGCTATTAAACATGTCCAGTAATAAAAATTAAGAAATCAAATTTCATCATAAATGTAGGCCAAAATGTATTCTGCTACATGTCTTTGCTAAGAAAAAATCCCAATACATGTAAATTAATTGACTTACGTGAAAGTTATAGCGTTTACAAATGACGGTATATATACTGGGATTTTTTTTTTAACTTCTAGGAATGGTGGCGATTAGCGACTTATAGCAGGACTGCGGCAGGCATTTTGACATCGGGGGGAACTGACTTGGTGTCACTGACATCCCCAGTGACAACACTACAATGATCAGTGCTAAAAAAAAAGTGGTTAACGTGGGAAGATCAAAGGGTTAACTGTGTGCTTTTTGTACTGTGTGCTGTGTCCCTGTGCTTCACTGTAAGCACACTGCTTTGCATGACCACGCAAAGCAGTGTGCACGAGCTGACAGGGAGGAGAATTGTGTTGTTTACAAACAGTTTTCCTCCCTGTCGGAGAAGCTCGGCAATCACCGGGCGCCGGTGAGTAATCACTGGCCAGGACCTGGTGATTGAGAGCTGCGAATGGCGGCACGGGTGGGGAGCGCGTACGCCCCCTACCCGGAAATGCAAAATCGCGTGTATATATATGTGATTTTGGCCACCCGTGCCGCCTTGTAGCAGTATTTCTGCTATAGGGTGGTCAGGAAGCAATTAAGAAAGTTGGGAGTGCTTCAGTGAATGTCCCTTTCAAAAAGGTTGCTGTCCTCACACATTTTCATGCTAGGGTGTAATGCTTTAATCCAGTGAACACTTGGGAGATCTGTAGCCCTGTCATATACATCCATGTTGAAAAATTCTGACTACAAGGCAGAACCTGTTTCTAAACCTAAAAATAATGAAAGCCCTGGCTTATGTTTTGCCAATTTTTAACTGTTTTTAGCTTTGTCCATAAATGTACCTATGAGCATAGACAAGTCTTCCAGTGCGTATGGACTCCAGTAGAGGGCAGCAGACAACCTTGGCTGTCTCCAGAGAAAATTTGGATACTTTATCTCTTTTGACCCCCTAAAATTAGTTTTAATGCTGCCTACGTCTGCTTGCTCTTTCTCTTTCAACAGACATGAGGAAGCAGGCATCCTTGCTAAGGTCTTTGTATTCTGTGTATAGATTTGGAGATAATGTGAGTCTCTCAACTATCTTATGGTGACAATGGCAGAAATTAAGGCCTTGTGTATCTTCAGGGCTTGAAATCCTAGGAGGTCCACAGAGATCCAAAAACTGATGTGAAAATTGAAATAGGTACTTGAAAAATAGCAGATGATGCTTAGGATGTGGATGATTCTACGTTTTTGAATGCTCCTTTTATGAGGTCCTGGTGGTAATCAAATCCAGGATCTGAGGATGCCAAGGTTAGCAGTGCTAGTCATTAATGTGTAGATATATGCAAGGATGCACAGATCTTAAATACAGAGCTGTGAAAATGTATTTGCTGTCTTCCTGATTTTTTTTTTATTTTTTTTGCATGTTTGTCACACTTGAATGATTCAAACCAAATATATTTTAATAGTACACAAAGACAACCCGAGTAAATACAAAATGCAGTTTCCAAATGATGATTTCATTTATTAAGAGAAAAAAGCTGTCCAAACATGCCTGGCCCTATGTGAAAAAGTAATTGCCCCCTAAACTTAATGATTGGTTGTGCCACCCTTAGCAGCAATAACTGGCAATGAGTCTTTCACATCCCTGTGGAGAAATAATGGCCCGCTCTTCTTTGCAGAATTGTTTTATTTCAGCCATATTGGAGTATTTGTAGGCATGAATGGCCTTTTAAGAGCCATTCAGAGGGTGGACTTGCTGGTGTGTTTCAGATCATTGCCCTGGTGCATAACCCAAGTGTGCTTGAACTTGAGGTCACAAGGTCAACTGATGGCTGGACATTTTCCTTCAGGATTTTCTGGTACAGCGCAGAATTCATGGTTCCATCAATTGAAATTTATTTTCAGCAACTACAAATGGTACTCAGTAGTATGTATGGCCCCCACGTGCTTGTATGCATGCCTGACCATGTCGGAGCATGCTCCTAATGAGACGATGGATGGTGTCCTGGGGTATTTCCTCCCAGATGTGGACCAGGGCATCATTGAGCTCCTGAACAGTCTGAGGTGCAACCTGGCGGCATCGGATGGACCGAAACATGATATCCCAGAGGTGTTCTATTGGATTTAGGTCAGGCGAGAGTGGGGGCAATTCAATGGTATCAAGTTTTTCATCTTCCAGGAACTGCCTACATACTCTCGCCACGTGAGGTCGGGCATTGTTGTGCACTAAGAGGAACCCAGGACCCACTGCACCAGCGTAGGGTCTGACAATGGGTCCAATGATTTAATCCCGATACCTAACTGGCAGTCAGAGTGCCATTGTCTAGCCTGTAGAGGTCTGTGCTTCTCTCCATGGATATGCCTTCCCAGACCATCACTGACCCACCACCAAAATGGTCATGCTGAATGATGTTGAAAGCAGCATAACGTTCTCCATGGCTTCTCCAGACCCTTTCATGTCTGTCACATGTGCTCAGGGTGAACCTGCTCTCATCTGTGAAAAGCACAGGATGCCAGTGGTGGACCAGCCAATTCTGGTGTTCAATGGCAATTGCCAGTTGAGCTTTATGGTGCCGGGCAGTGAGTATAGGGCCCACTAGAGGACGTTGGGCCCTCAGGCCACCCTCATGAAGTCTGTTTCTGATTGTTTGGTCACAGACCTTCACACCAGTGGCCTGCTGGAGGTCATTTTGTAGGGCTCTGGCAGTGTTCATCCTGTTCCTCCTTGCACAAAGGAGCAGATACTGATCCTGCTAATGCATTAAGGACCTTCTATGGCCCTGTCCAGCTCTCCTAGACTAACTGCCTGTCTCCTGTTTCCTCCATGCTCTTGAGACTGTGCTGGGAGACACCGCAAACCTTCTGGCAATGGCATGTATTGATGTGCCATCCTGGAGGAGTTGGATTGCCTGTGCAACCTCTGTAGGGTCTAGGTATCGCCTAATGCAAACAGTAGTGACACTGACCCTAGCCAAATGCAAAACTAGTGAAAATGTCAGAAAAATTGAGTAGGGAAAAAAATGTCAGTGGCTGCCACCTGTAAAACCATTCCTGTTTTGATGGTTGTCTCATTGTTGTACCTGTTGTTAATTTCATTAACACCAAAGCAGCTGAAACTGATTAACAACCCCCTCTGCTACTTAACTGACGAGATCAATATCCCAGGAGTGTAACTGACTTGATGCTGTACTCTGATTTAAAAAGTGTGTTTGAGCAGTGTAATTTGGAGTAATTTTATTTTTATCTGCAATTTTTACTGATAAAAGTATACAATTATAAATTGCATGTATTTCTTTATATGTTATTTAGAGATCAAATTATTTCTAGAACTGATTACTGTTTTGCAGCAATTGACCAAGTTGTACATGGACACTGCTACATTAGTCTGGAATGGAAACCCAATATCTGGACAAGAGGCTCTGGTTGAATTCTTTGACATGTTGCCATCCAGTGAATTTCAAGTCAACATGTTTGACTGTCAGCCTGTTCATGGTAAGAAAGGGTGAGATGGGTCCCTTTTTATGGGCTTCTTCAGTCTTGGGTATCGTTACATTAAGAGTCCTCTCTGCACGTTAGTCATTAGTGTGCCTACTCTGAACTGGAACTTCTACCTCTATGTTTAAAAGCTGTTGCATTTGCAGTAGTATGGATGTACAGTCTGTTGTGGGTAATTTTTTAAGAATGTAAATTCTAACATCTTCATCCTCCGTCATGTTCTGCCATGTACACCATGCCTGTTCAAAAACTTTATGGTAGACTCATGAACAGGAATGTTTGCTAGTTCCAGTGATGTCTTTTTTGCTCTTGGGTTCTTCTTTACCAGTTAGTTCCAAGTGGTTCACATACTCTTTCTTGCCACTGTAATAAAACTGGAGGCAATTAAAGTGTTACTAATCCCAGAACAGTAAATTTAGTCTGTATAAGTAGTAAAGCATGCTTGTTCTAATCACTGTGGAACCTAAGGCGTTAATCCTCCACATTGTGTAAAAATGGCTGCTTGAACCTGTCTTCTCTGATTCTCCCCTTCTACTGTCCTCAATCCAACTGGTGATAGTACAGAGCTCTAGGAGTCGCTCTGCACATGCTCAGTTTAGTATGTATGTCTAGGGTGTTTTTTTTTTTCTTTTGGAGGATGCATGTGATCAGCACAGGGCCAATCAGCACTGTCCAGACAGAGGGTCAGGGATTATGCAGCCTCATAGGACATTCAGAGGAGAATGAAAACTCCTCATACGAGCTTTAACCAGTGCTTAGCTGGACACTGATAGAAGTCACAGGACTGCTATATACTGCTGATGAGAAAAGGTATTTAGCAGTTTATATTTACTACAATAATTGCATTTCCATGTTCTGTGTACAGTGGGGGACCAGATATAGTGAATGCAGGGTCCTGGGTTTAGTAACATTTTAAGACCAACTGTAAGTTAACGTACAGAGACACAGATTTATTGCGTGTCTTTGTACACTGTGTAGCAGGTGGCATATTTAAGCCTCTGGCCTCCTCACCTCTTTACAGCCAACAGCCTCTTTGCAACCATGAAATCTCGTTTTGCTGTGATCAAGCCTATTTATGTGATGATGTCCAGGTATCCCCTAATCTGTACCTTGTCCATTTTAAATACCATGATGCATACTTGAAAAATGTCTTGAATTGCACATCTAAAGTTTTTTTTCTAGTCCTTGCTGGAAACAAAAACATTAACCCAGGTATAACCTTTCTTTTCTTTCAAGAACAAGGGACTCAAGGACAGAAGACTGTACTGGTTGTTACTCAAGGCTCTGTGAAATTTGAGGGAAATAAACCTCGTTACTTCAACCAGAACTTTTTATTGACTCTCCATACTTTACCATCTAACCGGCTGTGGAAGATTGCCAGCGACTCTTTCCGCTTTCAGGACTGGGCCAGCTAAAGTCAATCGGCTTACAACTTTACTTAAAGCAAATCAGAAAAAATGGGAAAACTACTACTAGTAATGTAAAAGTAGTGCCTGCAGGTACCTTGCATATTTTTACAAGCTCCTCCACCTATCCAAACCCAGGCATTCTGTTGTGGAAAGTGAACTAATAATTCATTTGGTGAGATTCAGGACGGGCTGTGCAAAATCTCAATAATAAAAAATTAAAGTGTATTTGTGTGATAATCTAGATTTTGTTTTTGTAAAGATGCTTAAGGCATCTGGAATCCTTTCCAATCCTAGTAGCAGTTTAACATTTTATTCTCAGCAGAATTTACTTTAAAGCAAAGGTGACCAAAGTGGTTAACCATTGTATATTTTTTTGATGGAAAAAAAACTGTTTTATACTTATCTGCTCTGTGCAGTGGTTTTGCTCAGAGCGAGCCCCAAACCTCCTTTTCTGGGGTCCCCCTCCAGCGCGCTCAGCTCCTCCTCTTCTGTGCAGCTATAGCAAGCTGCTTGGTATGAGACCACTCATGGGGGCATGCTCCTGGGCTGGGATGTGCTATCTGTGTCCATTGATGCATGCGGCTTGGCCCCAACCCCATTCTCTCCTCAGTGGGTTTGACTGGCAGCAGCAACAGCAGCCGATGGCCCCCGCTGCCATCAGAGCCTCTAGTGAGACCAGGAGGATAAGAGCTGTAGCAAAGGGCACAGTGCTGGATCAAAAATGGACCTGGGTGTTTAAGGAGGGGGTGTGGGGGAAAGCTGCTATTGAAAGGTTTTTTACCTTTTAAAGTGTTACTAAGTTTACGTAACAAACATGCTATACTCACCTGCCTTGTACAGTGGCATTGCACAGAGCAGCCCCAATCCTCACAAGCAGCCAATGGCTCCTGCTGCTGCTCGAGTGCTGTGTGAAGAGGAAGAGAGGGGAGAATAGCTGTAGCTGTGCACAGTGCTGGATCTGTTCTTCCCTCTCCTCCTCTTCATACGGGGGGGGGGGCAGAGAAATAGAAAACCTTTTTTTTACCTTAATGCAAGAAATGTATTAAGTTAAACATTTTTAGCTTTAGTATCGCTTTTTAATGCAGAGGATGCATTAGGGTAAAAAACCTTTTTTCTTTTATAACCACTTTTAAACATTTCCTAGCCTGCAATGCTGAAGTGCAGGTACAACCTGTGTTGCTCTTCAAGTCAGTCTTTATGGATTTTTGGGTCAAAAGCTTAAGTTGTACCTAGAGCTGTGAGGCAGCCCAAGTTGAAATTAAGAGTCACCCTTTTCTGGCACAAAGCCCCACCCCCGTCATTTAACTGTTAAATGTCCAAGTGGCTTAATCTCGATTTAAGGCTTCATGTACTGCGAGCGCCAGATGTCACAAAGACATTAGGACAGATTTGAAGATTAGCGCAGGTACTTGTCATGATGATGCAGTGCTTGTACTTCAGCACTCTTGTAGCCTTGTGTGTAGAGTAGTATTGATGTGTTACAACAGCAGCCAATCAGATTTCAGTTTAGGGCATTCTGGTTGGCAACAAGCTTTTAATAATTGTAATGAGTTACTGCATGATGCAGTATGATGTACCTCATTACATCAGGAATATGGCTTACTGAATCTATAGTCTGGCAACCCATCTATGTGTGTACCAGATCAAATATTAAACCCCCGACGTTAAAACAAAAACATTTTGGAATAAATAAGTTGACTGTATATTTGTATTTTTTTTTCCATTTTTTTAAAAAGTTGTATATGTTTTGTAATATAAAGCTGATAAAGAAATGTTTTTGTAATCATATGTGTTAGTTTTTTTGTGATGTCGTATTATGTAATTTTATGTTGGCTGAATCTACTTCGTTTGGGTGGACTTGCTCTCTAAACCCTTCAGATACATGACTGGAAAAAAATGGAGGAGTATGTTAGACATACACATCTAAAAGAATGCGGAGCAGGCGTTTGTATGTATGAAGTCTGGTGCAATTATACAAGTAATAAGAACGTTGAAATGATTAGGCTGTAGATGACAAGACGTCCAGGCTCACCGACAATGCTTCCTGTAGGGGATGTAAGTTCAATCCACAACATGTGTTTCAGGGATGATGGCTGATTTCCTCTACCCCAGTGCTTAAAATGGAGTCTGAGCTCTCAGGATGCAACTCTTCCTTTTCTTAGAATGAAGACTAATGGGAGCTTTTATTAACTAGATTCTGGTTTCTGCAAACAGTACTTTTATTCTGGGCTCCATCTAATGGCCAAATTTATTATTGCAAGAAATAGACATAATGAAAGTTCCCTGCTGGTGGCAGAACAAATATTTTTGATTTGTGTTTCCTGATTAAGACCTACTGGGGGCATATAATTATAAACCTATGGGCCCCAGAGTGAATTCTGGTCTTAAGAGCTCCTCTTTACTGAGCTCCCACCTTAGTGAGCTCACCCACCTTCTTACCAAGCTCCTGCAATAACACTTAGGGTTTTCTTTTAATAAATAATTCACATAGCTATTCACCTAGTGACAGTGCATGTATATTATTTCTGTGTGAGTAGGGAAAAAAAACTTTTTAATGTTCTGGTGAAAATTTTTTTTAATTTAAAATGGAAAATATCACATATGGCCACTAGGTGGTGCTACGTATCATGTACACACTCATCCATGGGCAAAAGGCTATGCAAATTCTTTGTAAAACAATCCCCTTAGTTTAGATTACACAGGGGGGGTTGGGGGGGAGAGATGTTCTTGACCGTTGTGGTGACTTTGTGCTTGCTTGGTCATGTGATATCAGATCACTAAACCAAAAAGCAAGGAATACTCTGACAGTGTGAAGAAAGTGCAGCCGAGAACTGGCAAGTGCATTTCCCGGTGATCAGCGTGTCATTGGACATGGCTGATCACGTGGTAAAAGACCGCTGTGATGGGTTTTTATCACATCACGTGATTAGCTGTGTCTGTAGGACACAGCAATCACGGAGATCGCCGGGGGCGTGCAGGAGAGCGCGTTCTGGGAGCACGTTGTATGGCATCCTCCCAGAACTGGCCAGCCGCAGTGCAGCCGTCATTTGGCTATCTGTGGTCGGCAACTAGTTAAAATGCAGTAAAACACTCACCCTTCTGCGCATGCTCAGTCGCTCTCTTTTTCGGCACTGTGCCAAAAATGTAGAGGCCGATCTGCTGACAGCCTAAAGATTAAAGCGAAACTAAACCCATAGATTTAAAGTTTCAAAAAACAATTACATTCCAGGCATGCCAGGACAGTTAACTGTCGCATTTTGCTTGTGATCTCATCCAAACTGTCAAACCATCAAACAGCTTTATTGGCTGAAAATGATAGGAGCGTTTAGTTCTGCTTAAATTGCTACCCAGGGGCCTTGAGCTTCAACAAAATGGCAGCCTCCAGCAGGGACAATGCTAGAGACAATTTACACTACACACTAATTTTGGTTGCATAATTGTTAATGTGGAATGTATGTTCCCTTCTAAATAACATAATTTTTTTTTAATTATGAGTAAAGTTCCAGTGATTAGGGGAAATCAGTTTTTTATCCTGCTGTATCTTTGATAGACACAGATTAGGTTGGACTATAATCAACAGTTGGAAGTATACTGAAACATCTGAAAGGCTGATCAAGTGTGGACTGATTTGTAACAAGTATTCTGACTTCGGGGAAATGTAAAGATATATAAATGGATACCTTCTGGGGAATTAACTAATGGCGCAGGAAACAGCCAGGGAGGGAGTGTACCACAGTAAAATAAGCAGACAGACTTGTTTCAGGTCTATCTTCATCACCTGCACTAGTTTTATTCCGAATGAAATAGAAACTGGTGCAGGGCCTGCGCCTGATTACCTGAGGGAATGTGGCAGTTTGCCCATATACTGTTAAAAACAACTGCTGAAGATTCCCTGCCAGGTCTAACCTGGTGTATGGGATGTGAACTGTCTGCAGAAAGCTCACATTCTTCTCTTTTCATGCAGTGCTTACACTACATGAGCAGAGCCCATTAGGTTAACAACCCTCCTCTTTCTCACTCTTAGCTGGGTGGGGACAGACGGAGAGATGCAGCTCCAGATCTCCTGTTCTCTATGCTGTTTTTGTCCCAGGCACAGCAGAAGAGAGAACTGATTGCTCCTAATTGGGAAAAAAGGGGTTTGTGCCCTTTTGTTAATTAGGAGCAGAATCGGCTCTGTTTTCTGTATTTAGAGGAGTGGTGTAAACATTATGCTTGCCACCATTCATTAATTCCTCTCATTGTGTCAGTAGATGACAGCCTGCTGCCTAAGCTGGGATAGAGTTCTACAGATGGCGTACCTGTACGAAGTGGTTGGAGCGAAGTAAAATTCAGTCTTGCAGTGCCAGGTAACTCTTCCTGTGGTTGTGTACAAATCCAGTACTAGGATGTTTCCACAAAAAAGTGTTTCATGCTGTTTGCAGGACCCTGGATTCCTTGTGGCCAACAGGTCAGCACAGGCATCTGTGAGAGATTAGGTGCATGCCTGATTGTGTCTGTTAGCTCTCATTCATCTGCTGGTTTCAGGAATCGGTGGTTCCCTTCCTCAGGATGCAGCATAAACAAAGGAAAATACTGTAAATTGTGTATATTGCAGACACGAAGCTGAACCATGCTTCAAGAAATGAAAGTGACCAGTAGGTGGAGATCTTTGCTGTTAAAATCTTTGTTTCCCAAACCTATCCTCAGGTTCCTCAAGCTGCGTTTTTAGCAAGTAACCCACATTTGTAGAGACAGGATGATAGTGTGGACATTCACAAAAGGTGTGTGAAATACTGCTCCAGTATATGTGTTGGAAATGCATGCCTTTAAAAATCAGAAGGTAAAACTCCTAGTGTAATAACAGATGTCTACAGCATTCATTCATCTCTGTTGTCGCATACAAAATGCAGTCAGCATGAGTTACTGCATTTTGCACATTAACATTTTTATAACCCATCCCTACTGAAAATTAGCATTGCCTGGGTGTGACTTAAAGCAGAACTTTACCCATCACAGTTTGATAACAA